CCATAAAAAAGACAAATTCTCTTGGCATTTAAAAAAAAAAAAACACACAAAACACAAAACAGCGTAAAAAGACCTAATTTGTTTTTTTTTATTTTACAATTTTGCAAATAACAGCTACTGATTAAACTGGATGTTACAACCAGGCGTCATTTGGACTAGGGTTCAGTGATGGTAAGGCTCTTCGCTCTTTGCAAAGTTCCAAGAGACAAAGATCAATCTGGGTAGCCAGGTCCTTCAGCTGTTTCAGATTCTGAAGGCAGTCGCAGTTGGAAAGTTAATCTTTTATCTTTTCGTTTAGCCCAGTAATAAACACGTCTATAAGGGCTTCCTCATTCCAGGAACTCTTGGAAGCTAACAGGGGGAAGTTTATAATATACTCTGGCACTGAGCGATCTCCCTATCTAAGTGACAGGAGTCATCTTGAAGCCTCCCTATTGGAAAGAACTGGGCAGAAAAGTTTGATCAGTTCTTGCAAAAAGCCACTGTAACAGCTACATAAACTAGGGTTTTTCTGCCATTCAGACATTCCCCACGCTTCGTGTTGCCGACTGGAAGCAAGATAACATAGGTTACCCTGGTTCTATCAGAAGGGTATGCCGAAGGCTGAAGCTCGATTTGAATGTCATATTAAGTGAGAAAATCCAGACACTATGCCGTATCGCCCTTAAACAGTTCAGGGGGTGACAGATGCGGCTCCCGACCTACAGTTTTGATGGCAGGTGATGTAGAAGCGAAAGCTGTTGTAAGTGAAAGTGCGGGAGTAGCCTGATTACCAAAATTGTTCAGGATTCCTGTATACCTGATTCGAACTTAGTTGTAGGTTCTTCTACATCTGAACTCTATTTTGTGCCTGTCGATGGGTTCATGTTTTGCCAGATTATTCTTTCAAGACTCAAAAGAGAGAACCCAGTATTCAGACAGTTACACTGTATGATATTTAAAAAAAAAAGAAAAATAAAGTTTATTCAAAAAGAATGGATCTGCAGTGAGCACCTAAGACAGGAACCTCTGCAGGAAGAAAATACAGGTTAGTGACCAAGTCAATCTGGTGGAGGAAGATTATGAACCTGTGAGTTACTAACCTGGTCTTAAAGTTCAGTCAGTGGCCAGAGAGCGAGGTAGATTCTAACTAATCCACTGTCAGCAAGATGGGCTGAGAGCTGCCCAGAGCGTCCCAGGCATTGAACGCCTGAAGAAAAGGCAGGAGATCAAATCCAAGCAGATAAAGGAAGGCAGGATAATCCAGAGGGCAAAGTCTAAGCCAGTATCAGGGAGACCGCCACCCTCAGTAGGCAATGCAGGTGGAGTGTCTTGCCCAAGGACACAACAACACTGAAAGCCGGAGCCAGGGCACAAACCAACAACCCTCCAATTGCAGGGCAAACTCCTAAACCCCAATGCCACTGTTGCCTTTTTTAGCCACATTCTTCTTTCCCCCACATCAGTCAGTATATGTTAAAAACTACCAGTTTTCACAAGAAGACTGTCTTTAAGAGTAAAGGGCATGTTCAACTCACTGCTGTTTAAGCCAAAAATTAAGCTTGGTCTGATTGGACCATGCAGTCTTGCCACCTTTTTTCAGGGACAGTAAACCTGGAATTACAGGTCTAGGGCCTGTAGTGGCTACACGTTACAGTGTTGCTGTTAAAGAAAAGACAAACAGGTTTTAAAAACAAAATTACATTCAATTTACTAAAAAGAACCGGTTGCGTTTAAAAAAAATAAATAAACAGAAGGTTTGATTATTCAATAATAAAAATAAATTAAAAAAAAAAACTCTATTCCATGACTGATAAATGACATTGGGGAGAGTATTTTCATATCCAAATATTGACATTTGTGGTGAATGGAAGGCATACATAACACAAACAACCACCCACACTTACAGGCACTCATAAAGGCAATTTAGAATGTACAATCAACCTCACATGCCGGTTTTTTAACTGTGGGAGGAAGCCAGAGAGCTCGGAGAAAACTCATGCGACACAGTCTCCTGAAAATAATTAGACACACAGCTGCAGACATCTGTGAAATAACAAACTCACTCTGGTACCAGGAAACCTGGGAATAGACAAAGAGGGTTCTGGGTCAGATGTAGGGTCCAGCTTAGTTAAGGTGTTTATTGTGGGCACAGATTAAGGAATAGGGAATGTGTGACTTTAGAGTACATGAAGCAACTTAAGTGATTCAGACTGTTTTTGAAAGCCTAAGGGAGAGGGAGATAATGCAGTCTTGTTTGGATATATCCACTGATAAATACATTTTTTAATTATAATCTCTAACTCCTGTTTAACTGTGACTTCTTCTCTCTGTCAACAAATGAATGGGCCAAAGTGAGATGTTATCTAATTTGAAAACACCAGTACACTGCGACCATGCAATCATACCTCCTTTTTTCAGGGACAGTAAACTTGGAATTACAGGTCTAGTGCCTCTAGTGGCTACAAGTTACACAATATTTCTGTTAAAGAAAAAACAAACAGGTTTTAAAAAAATAAAATTACATTTAATTTACTAAAGAGTACCGGTTGTATTTTCAAATAAATTAAACAGAAGGTTTGAGTGTTCAATGATAACAAAATTTAAAAACTCTATTCCATGACTGATAAATGACATTGGAGAGAGTGATTTCATATCCAAATATTGACATTTGTGGTGAATGGAAGGCATACATCAGTCCCAGCATCAATGTCCTACAGTGAACAGTTTCATCTGTTGCTATGAATGAGAACCTCTACCGAGATGTAAATGAGATGTAAAAGAAGACTGTTCCATTTAGACCAGTCTGAGGTATTTTCAAATAGATGTTATTTCCTGTTATTTATAGTGAGACATGGTAATTAGGTCTGTTTTTTTTAAATTTTATTTATTTATTTTTTATTTAAGATAAAACAACTGTTGCCTTTACTAGTTTGAAACTCTAACAGCTGCCATGAGGGAAGCTAACTGATATAAAAACAGAGCTACTCATCTAATCAATAAATCAAAAATAAATTTTGATAAATAAAAAAATTACATTTTCTTTCCACCTAAGAAAAGGTAAATGACTATTTCTAAGAACAACAAGGTGAAGCCAGTATTAAAGTTCATTTTTAGAATATAAACCTCAAACAAATAATCAGCAGCATTAATCAGGGATGAAAGACCAGAATTATTTAAACTCCTGAATCCATCTAATGTGTCAGTATGAACTAAATATTTTTTTTTAAATGTGAAGGTGTGAAAATGTTAAACATTGTAATTTTTCATAAAAATTATCGATAATACTATTTAACACTACAAATAAATAAATCTACTTTTTTTGCCATGTTTGCATATTCAAATGGTCCCAAAATTCCTACAAAATGATATGTTGGACAGAAGGTAACTCTCATTCAGATCAGTCTCCAGCAGAGCAAGAACATGTTTGTGTAACTTCAGCACTAGAGAACATAACCAGATGTAAGTTTTACCTCCGCTAACACACACACACACACACACACACACATATATATATGTATATATATACAGTGCTAGATCTCTTTTTTTTTCTTTTGTTTTTAATGTGTGGTGTCTTTGGATGAGTTGTTCTGAAACAACTGTAGTTTTGCTTTATACAATTCATTAATTCCATAGATTATAATAGCAGGCATCTGGCTTCTGTGATTTCTTAAATGGGTCATAGAATGATTCTATAGAGTGTTGATTTTATGTACACATGTTGATTTTATGTACACATGTTGATTTTATGTACACATGTTGATTTTATGTACACATGTTGATTTTATGTATACACATGCATATTTTTATCCTGTGCGGGCAGTGCTTTTATTTATTTTATTTACTTTTATTTATTTTAGTTATTTTATCTTTTTGTGCAGCACTTTGGAAACCTTGTGTTTATTTAAACCGTGCTATATAAATAAAGTGGATTGGATTGGACTGGATATAGGGTATTTGGTGCTGGTCCTTAAGGTCTCTGAATACGGTGTGTAATATTGGTTGGGCTGAAAATGGCATATTTGCTGTTCTATGAGTCCTAATGCAAAGCCTTAGAATGAAACGACAGGTTTCCTTCCTTTTATGGTATGCTCTTGAATATTTAGATGAGCTGATTGGTGGTTTACAAACAGCGAAGCTGCCGAGCAAAGACGCATGATAGCAACAAGCACTCGCTCACCGAAACATTTAGATTGTTGATATGGTAAGGTGACCAGACATTCTCTTTTACCAAGACATGTCCTACTTTTTATATCTATAACAATGTCTGGGGTGAATTTTAAAATCGTCCGGGTTTTGGTCGACTACAGTGCAACACGTAGACGAAAAACACACCGGGCGTTCCTACCGCTCCGGGACTGGTCAGGGAACCCCGGCAGATGAAGGCAGGATCCAGCGGGGGAGGGAGTGACCGAACCCGACCTGGTGATGGCATGACACCGGCAACCTCCATGCTATCACCGGGTCGGGTTCTGTCACTCTGTCCCTGGCTTGCTCCAGTCCAGTCAGTGGCCTTTACACAGAGCTGCTACATATATATTTTGTTGACATACAGTATTTTATGTTTTTCCCAACAGAGAAAAAAATCTATCAAAGTAAAATCTTTTCATCTAGTGTGAGAAATATGAAGTGGAATTTGCTTCTGCTTATTTGGATGGGTAAGTGTCTGAAATTTTCATAAAGGAAAAATTTAAAGTATTTGGAATATTGTTGAATTAAATATTGTGTTCACGGAATCTAAAGTGTTATTGAGCTACTGAACATTGAAATGCATTTGTTTTCGACTCTATTCAATACCTATTGATTTGTATATTCAATATTGGTTGTTTAAGGTCAGTGTTGTGCAATGGTTTGCCAACTCTATCAGTATCACTACATTAATGAGGAAAAGACCTGGACTGAAGCTCAGCAGTACTGCAGAGAGAAACACACTGACCTGGTCACAGTGTCTAACATGACAGACATGAAGAGACTCATCAGTAACTCAACGGGAAATATGACAGAAGCTTGGATTGGTCTGCATGATCAGGCAGATGGTATCAGAACATGGTACTGGTCTCTGCCTGGAGTGGAGTTTGATAACAGTAATGAGCTGTGGAACACAAATCAGCCAAACGACTATGAAGGGGTGGAGAACTGTGGAGTGTTAACAGGAAGCCTGACATTGGAAAACGTATCTTGTAACACACATAATCATTTTCTTTGTTATGGTAAGAGCATTTGAGTTGTAAAGCTGAACTTACAGTTTTTATTATTTTGATCTCAAAACTAATACAAACTAATTTAAAAAAATCATCAATTCCTTAGTATGAGAAAACAATGGAACCATGACTGATTCAAACAATTAATATTTTTTTCTGCAAATTCTGATTTAATATTACATTCTTTGCAGAAAACATACAAGCATACTGATCCTTATGTGTTGTTTATCATACAGACAGTAATTCATTCCAGAAATTCCACTTGATTCAACAAAATAAAACTTGGTTAGAAGCTCAGAGATACTGCAGGGAAAACCACACAGACCTGGTCAGTGGACTGCCACAGCTACAGGAGGACGAGCTGAAGGGATATTCCAGTCTTATTGAAAAACATTTTTTAATTTCAATTGGTCTGTTCAGAGACACCTGGAGGTGGTCAGATGGAAGCAGTTTCTCTTTCAGACACTGGAATGACCAGTTTAACAATGACCAATACAACACTGGTCAATGTGCCATGACTGTGTTTGATGATGAAGGCAGGTGGAAGACTGACAGCTGTACAGTCAGAAAACCCTTTATCTGTTATGATGGTGAGTTGTTCTTTAGTGTTAAATGAAAACAAAAGGAAATAATGTTTGTGAATAAAATTAATTTCAATGTATTCATCTATTTGCTAAAAATTCTTTTTTAATTTATTCTAGATAGGAAATGTCAGAGGAGTTTCAAATTAAAGATAATTTTTTGTCCATACTGATTATTATATTTCTTATTTCCAAATAATCACATGAATAAAGATATTAAGTAATTGTTTGTGTCCATAACTGCTGTGTCAGATAAAGTGATCCTGATGAAAGAAAAGATGAACTGGGAGGATGCCTTATACTACTGCAGAGATCACTACCATGACCTGGTCACCATCACCAGCCTGGATGAGCAGAGATGGATCCAGGAAAAAGCCAAGAATGCCTCGACTGATTATGTCTGGATGGGACTGCGCTACAACTGCTTGAAGAACATGTGGTTCTGGGTCTGTAAGGAGATCAGGTTTAACCATAAAAGCCAGGTCTCAGAAGAACAGATGAGAAACTGTGACATGTCTGGAGCCATAGAGACAAGAGGGAAACATAGGTGGATTCAGGGAAATGACACAGAGGAACTGAATTTTATTTGTTCTAAGGTTTAAGCTCACCCCATTTTTTTCAGAATCGTTGGTTAATTATAATATTAACATGATTTCTATTGTTTTTTTTTGTCTTAAAACTTAAAAGTAGCTACTGCCAATAAGGCTTAAAATATTTTTGATTTATATATAGATCTATTGTTGTATACACATATCTTTGTATATTGTATATATATATATATAAATATATATACTACTCTCATACTTTTCTGGTAACATGGATACAAATATTGTACTGTACGAAGTGGCTTAAAGAAATATATTGCCCCTATCAGGACTTTTGCTATATTTTTTGTTTAACAATAAATGTATAATATGCAAAATGATGCTTGCATTTTTAATGCAAAACACAGATCATTGAACTTAGAAGGATTTATGAGAAATAAAGAGTTTCTGAAGCAACTAAGAATATGTTGGCCTTGACTTTAGTTGGCGCTCTATGCTGAGTTGATACATCAACTAATAAGGGTCTACAGTGGGAGAACACTTATTCATTCTACAGATTTATTAAATTCTTTCCAGCATAAAGTATATATAGTTGTTACCTGAGGTTACAATATTGATCAAAGTATATATCTGTGAGTTAGGGGGTTCTGCCTTTTTTACATACGGTAGTTTAAATGTGGTATTCCTATTCAGTAGCCATTTTGATTATTAATACTTACAGATGTCACAGAAGGTCATGTGGATTGTGTGGATCTAGGATTTTAGGAGATCAGGGGCTTAGCCCTGATCGTGCAAATTGCAAATTTTTTATTTTTTATCTTTTTGATGCCCCGCATAAAAAACTACAATTTGTTTGTACTTCAACTTACCACAGCAGAGAGACACTGAGAATCGCCTTATTCAATCCAATCTACTTTATTTCATAGCACATTTAAAATAGAAACATGTTTATTACAGTGCTATACATTTAAAATATATCATAATAATAATTAAATAAAATCATAAAATAGACTTAAAAAACAAAAGAGAGCAAGAAAATAATACAATAAAATGAAATAGGAAACTCAGCTAAAACAGTAATAGACACATAGAACTATGCAACTCACGTAGTGTTAAAAGCCAGATAATAAAAGTTTGCCTTCATATGAGACATAAAACACTCCACGGTGGGGGCTGTTTGAAAACAGAGGGGCAGAGCATTCCAGAGTCTGGGACCAACAACATAGAGCGCCCTGTCCCCCCTGGTTTTAGGTCTCATCTTAGGGTCCATGAGCTGGGACTGGCCCCCAGACTTCAGAGCGTGCATCTTATATCATAAACATATCCCTCACTGATCATAAACTAAAGATGTGAATTAAAGTACAATACAAGGCATCCTATTTCCTTACTGCAAACTGCCTGTGACCCTGGCTGGCACCTCAGCTGTCCTTTACTGCTAAGTTTTTCAATGAAGAGAGGAATAAACTCAGTTAAATACTTGCAGGTAAATTAATTTCTTCAGATGTTATGGAGGGGGAACTGATTTTTTCAGGCAGCTAAAATATATGGTCCCCCCCTCATAACTCTGGCAATTAAGGAAAAAATGCTAAAAAAATTCACAATATTTGTTACTGATGAAGAGAGGAATAAACTCAGTTAAAAACTTGCAGATATATTAATTTCTTTCCATGTTTTGGAGGGGTAACAGATTATTTGAGGCAGCTGAAGTATCCATTCTCTCCTCTCTTCCTCCCATATCTTAAGGAAATAAAGAGCAAGTGTTTCCAAATTCTCAAAAATCTTTATGTGTGATAGAATGTTGTATACTAGAAATTTCTTTTGTCCAGTAATGTGTCATATTTCACATTAAAACACGATTTACCAAAAACTCTACACTCTTCTACGGTCTTTTTGTGCTTTGCTATCAGCCAGTTTGTTTATATCAGCAATGAAAAAGATCCACTTTGTCTCAAACATGAGGGTAACTCAAAGTAGTATAAACCAATCCAAATATCACTTTGGGCACGATTTTGAAACAAATACTACATGCCATTAGCCCTTTAAACATCCATGAGCTAAACACAGCCAAACTATCTCCGTTTTTTACTAACAAACCCTAATAGATAGTTAGCTAGATAGCAATGACTGAAAAAGACAAAAAAAGAGAGATTATTTGACACTTTCTGGCAGAATTAGTATGTCCTTATGTGTAACATAAGATTTAAAAAAACATTAAAAAAAATAAATAAATCCACTGGACTTTGTTTCCAAGTTTGAAGACGTTTCACTTCAAATCCAGGAAGCTTTTTTAATTCAAAGTCCCAGAAACAGCATTAAGTTTTAAGGCGTTATAGTGGACCAAAAAAGCCTTGTTTATGCTTAGAAAACATGTAAATTGAACCGGACAAGCCCCTTTGGTGTGGGGGTTGTGCTGAACCTTTGTTAACCTATAAAACCCGATACCTGTAATGCTATGCACAAAGCGGTTTATATATATAAAAATATATATATATGAAATATATATATATATGAAATATATATATTTATATATATATATATATATATACAGTGTTGTGCCTGAACATGTTCATTGAACGAAAGTTCATGAACTCGTTCATATTTTGGGCGAACATGAACTGAACGTAATGTATTACTGCCTGATGAACGTTATTGTGAACTCGTTCATTCTGGTGTCTGTGAATGGCACACTCTCTCAGTTAAACTTCGTTCAATAGGTTGCCAAATTTCTATAGATCCCTCCAGGAGAAACCCCAGCTAAATCACACCGTAAACAGGCCTTAATATGTAGCGGGAAAAACACCCAATCTGGCAACACCAGCTACCAGTGTCGTAGCCTACAGCCGCG